GACTAGTTCACGTAGGCATTGGTGTTGTACCTTTAGTAAAGGTAGTAGCTAGGTAAGTATCCGCGGGCTAAGTTTTTCCAGGCGATCTGCTCTCCGGATTCAGATCAATACCCGCCATCTGGACCTTGGGTTGGGAGAGGGGGAGGGGGAGGGGAAACAGGAACAAGGAGGAAAAGGAGAGAACTTCGTGAGAGAAGGATCGACGATGTAAGAGAGAGAGAGAGAGAGAGAGAAGGAGGAGGCTAGCGAAGCGAGACATGGTGCGCGTGCGAGAGTAAAAGAAAGAGAGAGAGAGAGAGAGAGAGAGAGAGAGAGAGAGAGTAAGAGGTGGAGGAGTCACTCGAGCAACAAGCCACCGGCGCACCCTCAACTACTAGATCCTTCCAAGACGCATCGAAAAGCTCGGCCAAAAAGCCATTTCTGTAGCTACATACGCCTAGCTTTCACGCTGCTCTGAATACGTACTTATTTTCTCTCTTTCTCTCTCTCTCTCTCTCTCTCTCTCTCTATCTTTCTCTCTTTCTCTCTCTCTATCTTTCTCTTTTTCTCTCTTTCGTCTTCTATCTCTTTTTTCCTAGTCTATTTCTCAGGAACGAACGAACGAATGAACGAACTAACGAACGAATGAAAATAACCATAAGCAAGCTCGAAAAGAAGCGTACGAGCAAGTCTAGTTTACGGCATATAACCAGTTGAAACTGTCCGCGGAATCGACGGGAATTTATCGTCCGTTACAAACTAACCCCAAAGTCGTAATATTATTTAGATCTTTATAACCATCAACGTCACGTTCTTCTTATACTTATTATTATTATTATTATTATTAATTCTTATTATTTATATGTCATCATATTTCTTTCTTATTATTAATTATAATTATTTTTATTACTATTTTTTTTCTTTATTTTTTTTTTTTTTTTTTTTCTTTTTTTTCATCATCGTACGTATATTGATTTCAGATGCAGATACGATTCCATATCGTATTATATATCCTAAGATCGTATAATTTATATCAATGTACGTATAGACATATTTTATAGATTTTTATTCGTACAAATCTTTTATGGGATACGATTCAAGTCGAACATATAATTTGACGAAATTCAATCGATCGTTTCTCCCTTTTTCTTTTTTTCCCCCATTCATTTTTCTTTTTCTTTTTTTTTTTTCTTTCTTTCTTTCTATTTTCTTTTTTACATTTAAAATATAGAAGACAGTAGAGACATTGATATTTTCATGTCAGAAGTATTGAAAGCGACCGGATGAGAAACGAGAGGGGGAATGGGATAGAGCATTAATCTTTCGAAAGAGGTAAAATAGGAGGGAAAGAGTTAAGAATGTTAAATTAGCGGTTAAGGATGTTCGCCAACGCGTTAAACTCATTTGCGTATGTTTCCATTATCAAGGCCCAAAGGAAAATCGATTTAGTTGATCTCTCGGTTGTAGGAAATTCGATCCGCATTACGCTCGATTAGATTATCAGTTATCCACTTGTAGGGATAGCAGGGATAGGATAGGGATTGTAACAACACGCTAAGGTACACGAGAGATGCCGGATGAGACAGGAGATAAGGTCTTAAGTAGCGACTGATTAAATCTCGGGACATATGCGAGTCGATCAATGGCCCTCTCTGCCTTTTCTTCCTTCTCTCTCTCTCTCTCTCTCTTTCTTTCTACTTCATTTCAAAGGAAGAGAAAGAGAGAAAGATAGATAGATAGATAGAGAGAGAAAAGCAGAGTCGTTCAGTTTGTGCGGTGCTGATACACTGTAATGCAGTCTCATGGGAGTTAGTTCCCCTGTTCTCTTTTGGTAGGACGGGCCCTTCGAAGACTAAGGTACTACTACTACTACTACTACTACTACTACTACTACTACTACTAGTACTGTTACTACTAATACTGCTACCACCATTACTACTACCATTATTACTCGTGTTCCACTCTGAGCCGCTGACCCGAGCCACTACGCGACATAAAAACACTCGAATTAATCGGCTCGTTCCCGAAGGAACCTGCGAAAGGTCAATAGGATCGGGGGTGTCGAATCGGTCTGCGTTGTACACTTATCTCGATGCACACTTGTTCGAAATAGAGGAGGGGAATGGGGAATAGGAACTATAAGGATGAGATGGTGCAAGGTGGGAGTAGGATGGGATAAAGGGTGGGGGAGCAAAGGAGCAGAAGGGTATTTTGCTAGTATTCTTGGCAAGTATAAAAGTGCTAGGACTAATCGTTCCCATCGGTGATTCAAGTGTCGAAGCATATGTCGTGAGATTTCGATGTTCCAAATCCCCTTTTAATTCTGAACGAGGTCTCTGAGGACTGCCTTTTGTTTCAAATCGCGGCTTCATGTGTATTTTGTTTAGGGATTTTTTTTTTCTTCTTCTTCTTCTTCTTCTTCTTTCTCTTCTTCTCTTTCCAAGATTTCAAAAGGATATCGATCGATCGATCGATCGATCGATCCGATCCGATTCGAAGAGAAATGTATTTAAGTACTTACCGATTGATAGAGGAGACAGAAGGTACGTTGTCCTGCGAACAAATCCCTTCTGCCAGCAACCTGTCACGAATCTCCCAAGCAAACATCGTTGGATTGTCCCTCTTGTAATTCGCGATCGCATCGACAACCGGTGGCGTTGCCACTTTAGGCTTGGAACCACCTATCACGCCGGCTTTGAAGCTGCCGGTTTCGTAATACCTGTTGTGAAGAAGAAAAAGGAAAACAAAAAATAACGATAAGAGTTAAAAGAATTAAACGATAAAACTTTATATTGTTAAGAAAGTGCTAGTGAAACTTCTCGTTCTCGTTTAATAATAATAATAAGAAAAAAAATAAAAAAAAAAAAAAAAAGAGAAGAAAAAAAAAAGAAAAAAATATTCGAAGATCTTTCTTGGGTATGTTTTTTTCTTTTTTCTTTTTTTTCTTTTCCTCCCCCTTTTCTCTCTAAGAATTTTCTGTCATTTCTCGAAACGAAAAGATTCGTTCTAATTCCTTTTTCCTTTCTTTTTTTTTTTTGACGAGCGCAACACGAAGATCGGGTGGTGGGTATATAAAAAATTATGAAAAAAAAAAAAAAAAAAAAAAAAAGAAAGAAAAGAAGAAACAAACTATTGTCCATGACATTTCTATGTCACTTGTCAGAGTACGAATAGAGAGAGAGAGAGAGAGAGAGAGAGAGAGAGAGAGAAAACAATCCACGCGTCTCGCTTTTCTTTATTCTCTTTTTTTTTCTTTTTTTTTTTTTTTTTTTTTTTTGAAGAGTAAACTGTAAGAGCGAAAAGATTTTGCATTTTTTTCCGGAGCGGCAGTCAGCCAACGTTGGAATAACGAATAGTCGTCCAGCGGTGCGTCAACGGCCGGCTGTTTTAAAACAAACGGCTTCTGCCCCCCTGCTGGCCTATCCCCTTCTCCCTCTCTCTCTCACTCTCTCTCTCTTTTTCTCTCTCTTTCTCATCTACCTAGCAAGCTACATTTTCTCTTTCTCTATTTCTCTCTCTCTCTCTCTCTCTCACTCTCTCTCTCTCTCTCTCTCTCTCTCTCTTTCTCTCTGGCAGCCACCCGCGGCTACACGGACTCACCGGCGGCGATGGACGATCGCGATTGGACCGCCGTGAACGCGCCCTTTGTGCCTAATTAGTTAAATAATATCTTCGCTCGTGCTTAAATTCAATTACGGCAGAAAGCCCGCAATAATGGTTCGCTTGTGGGCCGCCTTGATGGATGTGGGTCCGTCGCCGGCGTCGGCGAACCTCGCTCACTCGGCTTCTCTCTCTTTCTCTCTTTCTCTCTCTCTCTCTTTCTCTCTCTCTCTCTTTCTCGATATATATCGTTCGTTTTCTAGCCGTTTATTTTGCGCGAACGCATGTACATTACTCTCGAAAGGGACACTCATCTTCAACGAGAGATTTTTCTTTCTTATTCCTTTTTCTGTTGTTTTTTTTTCTGTTCTTTTATTTTTCTTTTTCTTTTTTTTTTTTTTTATGTATATTTATATTACACATATTAATTACGGAAAACGTATTTATTCTTCAATGAACGCGTATTTATTTTTAATGAAAGATCGGAAACAATTTTATCATTATACTTTTCGTACGCATCGTTTGGTCTAAACTTTCTTTTTTTTTTTTCTTGTTTTTCTTTTTTTTTTTTTTTTTTTTTTTTTTTTTTTTTTTTTTTTTTTTTTTTTTTCTTTAATCCTGATTAATACTCAATTAATTTTTGTGTCGCTTACTATCAGACAAACGTATATATTTTCCTTAACGATCTCTATGAAATGTAATTCATAATTGTATTACAAATATCAAATTAATCTTGCATACGCAAAATTATTATAATATATATTTATATATGATATACATATATATATATATATATATATAAAATTTTGTATTAGCATATTTTATATTGCAATCATATTAATTTCATATTAATGTATTAAACGTAAAGATGACTATATTATATCGTATCACGAGGCATTTATTAATTCTACGAATTATTTCCGATCGATGATTTTCGATCGTGTTCGAACGTTGAAATTTTTCGAGTGTCGATTTAAGAAGAAGAAAAGAAAAAAAAAGAAAAAAAAAAAGATAAATGAAAAAAAAAGAAGCACAAGGAAAAAAAAAAAAGGACGAGACTTCTTTGAGCCAACCGTTCCATTTTTTTGCCGACATATCACCGTGCGCCCTTTTCGATCGTCGATTTCGAGGAACATCGAAGTGAAAACGTAAGATCGTTAATGCGTTCTTACGGTTATGGCAAAGCCTAATATGATTTTGGTGAACGAGCGCGGTCGGCACTTGACGCGGAACAAGCTAACGGCGGAATGGATCCAGCCGTCCCCTAGCGAGCTACAACGGCGTTGTTACTTTGGTGGGGAAGGGAAACCCAGAAATTGATCTGCCACGCTAAAATTCGATTATCGATGCTTCTACTTGTCGTCTCTTCGTTCTCGCTTTATCTCGAATTGTCTTTTGAGAACGTACGAAACTCTTTTGAATCGTTCGACTTATAATAAAATGTTTCCATTATATAATATCAATTGAAAATTTTGTCAAGATCATATGAAAGTAATATTATTAATTATGGATAAAACGTGAAAAAGAATTTATCGTATGATAAAAATTTATTTAATTACAAAAAAAAATATATATATATATATATATATACGTTTCGTGTTTTGTAAACGTAAATTGTGTTTTTCTATTATGCAAAAAAAAAAAAAAAAGAAAAAGAAAAAAAAATGTTCGTCGTTCGATTCGTGCGTACGATAACAAAAAAAAAAAAAAAAAAAAAAAAAAAAAAAAAGATAGGAAGACGTAGGAAGAGGAAGAAGAAGAAAATAAAAATAATAAAAAAAAAAAAAAAAAAAAAAAAAAAAAAAGAAAAAGAGGAAGATAAAATGTAATAAAGAAAAAAAAAAAAAAAGAAAATAAAATAAAATAAAAGAAGGATAAAATTGAGAATAACGTCGGAGTTTGAACCTGCTGTTATAAAAGCATTCTGGCACCCTTAAATAGTGGAGGTCACGGATGGAACCCTTCGAAATTATTACGATTATATCTGGCGTAAAACCCCATTCCAAGCACACATGGCAATGCTCAACCGTTGACATTTCACTTTCTCTTTTTCTTTTTTTCTTTCTCGCTCTTTATCTCTCTCTCTCTCTCTCTCTCTCTCTCTCTCTCTCTCTCTCTCTCTTTTTGTTCTGCTCTCGGGCTCCCTCGCGTGAAATGGTCATTAGATTGTACGATTTTTCAAATCGACCGAGTGCTCTCGCTTAATTTCGATTTAAATGCGTTCGAAACAGGTTCACGTACGATTCACTACACTTTCATTCTCCGAGGGCGACATACGTAGATAATAGTTTTTCCTATTTTAAATCATTGTCATTGATGTCTTGGATCTTACGATAATTTTCAAATAATATATCATAGTTATGATCGGGTGATAATAAATGTCAGTTGAAAAATTATATCGATTATTATTGTTCTTTTTTTTTTTTTTTTTTTTTTTTTTTTTAATTCTAATCTCTCTGATTTTTCTTCGTCTTCTTCTTTTTTTTTTCTTTTTACTCGCGAAAAAAGACAAAAAGAATTTTGTAATTTCAAAATTTGTGTCATTTCTTTTTTTTTTTTTTTTCTTTTTTTTTTTTATTTATATTCGCCGAGATAAGAAAGAGAGTCACGATAGATCATGACGAAAATCTGATATATCATGATTTCATATCCAGTGAGTATATAGAATTTTTTTTTTTTTTTTATATTTACGATCGACAAAAAAAAAATATTGTAATCTCATTCGCGACGACAATTCATAAGTTTTTTTTCTTTTTTTCTTTTTCTTTTTTTTTCCCCTAGTCATAAATGACAAATAACGAAAGAACAAAAAAAGAAAAAGAAAAAGAAAAAAGAAAAAAGGAGAAAAAAAAGAAAAGGAAAAGAAAACAATCAAGATCGTGAAAATCCTTGAGTACATTATTAAAACGAGCAACAATTTCTACGTGTATATTATTATTAATTAAAATTATAATATATAACAACATACAAGTAATAAATAACAACAAGAACAAGAACAACAACAACAACAACAACAACAACAACAATAATAATAATAATAATAATAATAATAATAATAATAATAATAATAATAATAATAATAATAATAATAATTTTACGTGAAAAATATAAATAGAAATTTGCACTCTTTTAATTTCTCTTAAGCATAAAAAGAAAAGTCAATTTATTTTACTTTGCTTTACCACGAAGTAAGTAAGGAAGAATGAAAGAAGAAGAAGAAGAAGATGAAGAAGAAGATGAAGCAGAAGATGAAGAAGAAGAAGATGAAGAAGAAGATGAAGAAGAGTAGATCTCTTTGTGTCTGGACCAAATAATTTTCGGTCTCTTTTTTGTTCCGTAAAAACCGGTAGATACGTATCCTTCTGTAAAGGTCTAGTGCACAAGCTTTTCAACACGAGCGACGCGTGGCTCTTTTTACGAGCCTCTCTCATGCCGATTTAAGAGTTCGGGTATTGAACAAGTACAACGCATGGTACACGGATATGGTTGCGACGGTGGCGGTATTGGCGGTGACGGCGATTCCGCGAAGAAGACCGAGAAAGAGAAAAAGAGATAGAGATAGAGCTAGAAAGATAAAGGGAGTAAGAGAGAGAGAGATAGAGAGAGAGAGAGAGAGATAGAGAGAGAGAGAGAGAGAACGCGTTCTTACGAGGCGTATCACCGACGCGTGACTGCGTAAAACGGTGCGCTCTTGCGTTTTAACGCCGTTTCCACGTCCCGAAAACCCTTTCGGCATGGCGCGAACGTTCTCCAGCCGTAAAATTGTACAACTTGCATCCGTTTTTGTTATTTATTGTCTCTCTCGCATCTTCTTGTCCTATTTCTGAGATACACTCGACGAAAATTGCTAAAGAAATTTTACCTCTTCTTCTTCATCTTCTTCTTCTTCTTCTTCTTCTTCTTTCTCTTTTTTTGTCTCCTTTATCTTTTCTCTTCTCTTTTTCCCTTTTTTTTTTTTTTCTCTTAATGAAACATTCTCCTAGAATTTTCAACAAAGGTTTTCTTTATTTGTTATATTTCCATAACTCTGTTCTCTCTCTCTCTCTCTCTCTCTCTCTCTCTCTCTCTTTCTCTTTCTTTTTCTCCGTTTCTGTCACTGTATGCCTTCATTTTGACCCTTTCAAAAAACTATTTGATACGATCGGCAAAAAAAAAAAAGAAGAAAAAGAAAAAAGAAAGAACAATAAAAAGGGACGAGAAAAAAAGAAAAGAAAAGAAAAGAAAAGGAAACACGCGTGAAGTTGCTATTTCGATTATTCCTTCTCGTTTGTCTTTTTTTTTTCTGCCTTTCTTTCTTCTTTCTTTTACCTTTTTTTTTACCTTTCTTTTTTGTCCTAATATTTTCCGACAAAAATAATAATTGACAAAAATCATCTTTCTCCCTGTGTGTTATATCGTGCGAACGTATACATGAGAAATCACATGAGAGCAAAAAGAAGAAACGGGAAACGAAGGTAGAAATAAAATGAAGAAAAGAAAAAAAAAAAGAAAAAAAAAGAAAAAAAGAAAAAAGTAAAAAAGAAGGAAAAGAAGGGAGAAAGAGAGAAAAAAGAAAAACAAAAAAAAAAACAAAAGAAAAAAACAAAAAAAAAACAAAAAACAAAAAACAAAAAAGAAAGGAAAAAGAAATGCGAAAAAAGTTAACATGACGAAAGTATCGAGTTGCGAGAGTCGAACGATTCGATTCGAGTATAACAAAAAGGCCAATCACCTGTGGTGTGCTTTTACGAGCAATCGATTAATTCGTCGACCTGGCTATTTCCGTTGATTTCTAAATAAATCATTTAGGAAATCGTAATTTCATCGACGAGATCCATACGACTGCATGGATAATCGTTTCACCGTCTTTTCTCTCTCTCTCTCTCTCTCAAACACACGAACACACAAACATATATATGAACGCACACAAAAATATACTTTTTCACACACTCTCTCTCTCTCTCTCTCTATCTTTCTCTCTCTCTCTCTTTCTTTCTTTCTTTCTTTCTTTCTCTCTCTCACTCACTCACCCATTCTTTTTCTTCTTAGTCGCGATCGATTTTGAGCGCGTTAAAATTGCAATTCACGCTATCGAAGCTATCGATCCAATGGAAGAGAGAATTGCACTCATTCACTCACTCACTCAGTCACTCACTTTCTCTCTTTCTCTCTCTTTCTCATTTTTTTTTCGTATTGAAAGTAAGTACTTATCGATGGTACATACATACAACATGCAATAGCCGTTCTATTCATTGCCGCCCTTTCTAGTATCGTTCGTATTCGATAAATGGATATTGGATAACAGTCGATTAAGTTTATAACTGTTAACTTTTACGGGTCTGAGCGTTGGACCGTCCTTTCTGTCCGATCTATACACGAAACACATATAGACGTATAGATAGATGCATCCATGTTATATATATATATATATATATATATATATATATATATATATATATTCATATATATATATATATGTATATATAACTTACGAATATATAGAAAAAAGTGTCTTGTATTCTAGCGCGGATTCGCGATTGAATTTCTGTAATAAATCCCGAAGTATAAATTCTATGACGCGACATCGAATACATTCGTTACATCCACCACCAGGCTGTCGATCTTTTTTTTTTTTTTCTTTTTTCATTCTTTTTCTATCTTCTTTTTTTTCTTCTTTAACAATTCTCTCTCTTTCTCTCTTCTCACTTTATTATTTATTTAATAAAATCATATAGAAAAAATATATATATATATATATATATATATATTCTTTTCGAAGAAGTTTAGTTCATTTTTTCTATATTTCGAAGTAGAGAGAAAAGAATTGAACAAACAGAGATAGATAGAGAGAGAGAGAGAGAGAGAGAGAGAGAGAGAGAGAGAGAGAGAGAAAGAGAGAGAAAATTGAAAGAGAGAGAAAGAGAAAGAGAGAGGAGGGAAATATGAAGGGTAAAACATTCACTTTCTCTCTGTCCCTCTCTCTTTCTCTTTTTCTCTCTTTCACATATACACTGCAATAGTAAATAATACAGTTCGTCTATTATATCGAATTCGTGAAAGAGCTCGAATACATGACAATGATATTCGTAGGACGAAAACGACGACGGCGGAAGAATGACATTCTCGGGCCATCAAAACGGCACGAGGCCACCCGTTATAACTGAGCGGGGGTAGAGGGTGGAAAAAACACGGAAACCGCATATCGTCGGCCCCGTCGGCACCCCCGCGTTCGCCACCAAAAGAGAAATAGAAAGAGAAAGAAAGAGTGAGAGAGAGAGAGACAGGGGGAGAGACAGAGAGAGAGAGAGAGAGAGAGAAAAAGAGAGAAGGGTGTTTCCTTCCGGTCCTGCTAGTACGTCCCTTGCCTTATTTCTTACTCATGGTTCTAACGTTGTCTTTAATTAAATCTTACTCTGATCCAAGAATAGCAAATACTTTTTCTCTACTCTCTCTCTCTCTCTCTCTCTTTTTCTCTTTCTCTCTTTCTCTCTCTTTGTATCTATTTATCTATCTATCTTGTTTTTTTTTCCTGTTCTTCTTTTGTCGAGACCATCGAAGAATCGATTACGAGACCGTGAAACCTTTCGATTTATTTTAATTCTTTCGACCTTGAAAATTGGCATATATATATGCCAATTGTCATGTGTGTATAATAAATAAGTCTCTATTTATTTATAGTTTAAACGCGTTTTTTTTTCTCCTTTTTTTCTTTTTTCTTTTTAGTTTTACTGCACGAGAAATAATTATTGTGCAAGAGAGACAAATGTACGCTTTGATTGACAAATTGATTTGCAACAATTCGTTTTATAACTCGTTAGAAAATATTTTCATCTAATTTTCGAGGGAATTATGTGAAAAAAGAAGAAAGAAAAAAAAAAAATAGAAAAGAAAAAAGGTATAAAATTTAAGAAGTATTCTATGCATTAATATCAGATTGGTCAATGAGTAATATAAAAATTGTCAATACATTTTATATCTAAAAAATAAATATCTAATCTATATCTAAATAAATGGAATTTATAAAGATTAAACAAATAGTGATATATCGCGATCAAGGTGATAGATAAGATAAAAAGTGAAACAGAAGAACTATGAAGGGGTTTGAAAGAAAGAAACAAAGGAAAAAATAAAAAAAAAAGGAAAAATTAAGAAATAAAAAAGAAAACGAGAAGTAAATGAATAAATAAAATGATATTAAATAATATCAAATTAAATGATATTCCATAAAGATGGATATGTTAGATTAAACTGTGCCATTATATATTACATTGGAATAAACGAAATTTGTTATAAATAAAAATAACAATGATATATTATTGAATTGTATCTATGATAAATAGAAAAGATTATATTTATGATAATGATCTATTGAGTTATATAATAATATAAAATAGATCTAATGATATAGATTATTATTCACCTTGACAATATCTTGGATACACAGCCGTGAGATACCCTGAGTTGTCTCGAAATGTCGCACGGTCGGACACCACTATGCGCTAGTTCGACGATCCTTTGCCTTACTACGTCCGGTAAGGGCCTCCCATTCACAAAGACACCACCAAGCTGGTTAACTCCACCGTGGCCTGGAAAAATGGAAATCGATGGAGCATTAGCCGACTAGTAGAAAGAATTCTACTTACTCGAGCTTTAAGAATGAACTTTCGAATGGTCTAACGATAAGTAAGAAAGAAAGAAAGGAAGAAAGAAAAAAAGAAAGAAAGAAAGAAAGAAAGAAAGATAGAAAGATAGAAAGAGGGAAAGAAATAGAGAGCCAGAGAGAGAGAGGGAGAGAGAGAGAGAGAGAAAGATATCGTTCGGGGTCAACTTTTCGTGCACTCTCGCGAGACTTTCGAGCTTTCGATTTAAAGCTTGCGACATTTTCCAAACTTCCTACAAGGATGTATTGGTCTTTGATCCCGTGGGAAAAAGTTTGAGCAGCGGTCTTTCCCTGCCCTAACCCCTTCAACGTCCCCCACCTCCCTATTTACTCATCAAATTGTAATGGCTAGTGTTGTAATGCAAATATTTTTTATACTATTAAGGTAGATAAGCAAATTTAATTAAATCGCATAAGAAAAATTCATTAAATGCAAATATAATGTAAATAATATATATGTATATAATTGTGTGCAAATGAAAAAAGAAAAAATAAAATGTATGTACAAATGTATACACATGTGCATATTTTTTTTTTATATATATAGACATATAAAATATTTTTCATATAAAAATATATAAATATTTATATATATATATATATTTTTTTTTTTACAATTTACGAAATATCCACACGAATCAAGTAAAATGCAGTGGAAGGAGGGAGTGAAATGGCCAGTGGGATGGGGGGTGATAGTGGTGGTGGTGATAGTGGGGGAGAAGGAAAGGTTTCGACATCCCGTATAAGATCGATCGATCGTACTGAACCTACGGTTTTAGTAATTATTTTTTTTAGATAAATCTTTTTTGCCATCATATTTTCTAAGTAATAACCGTACTATGGTTAACTCGACGTAGCAATGTCGTCGTTGAGAAAGCAGGTGAAAGTTGTATTCGCTTTTGCCGAGAAGAGGATTGGAAGTTATTGAACGTGACCGATCTCCCCCTTTTTCGGAAAATTGCGCTTTTCTCTTGAACGTGCCCGGTAAGAAAAAGAAAGCTAAGGGGGAGTAAAAAGAGAGAGACACAGAGAGAGAGAGAGAGAGAGAGAGAGAGAGAGAGAGAGAGGAAAAAGGAGAAAAGAGAAAGGGACGTTTTTATATATCGCCAAGAGAGAGAGAGAGAGAGAGAGAGAGGATACAAATTTTTCAGTATATTTCATTTCATTTATTTTTATTGTAATAAGTATCGTTAGGGATAATGTAACTCGAGTGATATCTTCGAAGGATGTCTTTTATATGATGATTTTGTTTTCTTTTTCTTTTTCTTTTTCTTTTTCTTTTTCTTTTTCCTTTTCTCTCTCTCTCTCTCTCTCTCTCTCTCTTTTTTTATGATCTTCATAGGTACACACGCGAGTACGTAGGCGGTTCCTGTGATATATTTTAGATTTATATTACGATACTTGGCACGAGAAATGCAAGCCGAGAAAAGTTTTTGATTCTCGGGTCTAACCCCGGAATCACTTCTCTCGTTTGGAATTTCTTCTTTCTATTTCGATTTTATTCGAGATAGAATCGAGAAATAGAATGCGCGTTCGTCCAACATCCGATTTGGTACGTCCACAATTCTGATATATCAGAGAATATTTTATGTATCTTTTATATTTTCGATATACGCTCATGCAAAATTATACAATATTTCTTTTCTCTTTGTAATTTTTTTTTTCTCTTCTTTCTTTTCTTTTTCTATTTTTTTACTATTTTTTTTTTTTTTTTTTTTTATGAACACACAAGTCATTCGTTATTCGATTAGGTTCATCTATGATTCTACAAGTTATTAAAAGTGTTAGTTTTTCTTTTTTTTCTTCTTCTTCTTCTTCTTCTTTTTCTTCTTCTTCTTCTTCATTTTCTTCTTCTTTATATAAACGCATTATATTTATTTGGAGTAATTCGTTCTAATAACTTTTGAGGAAAATGGATAAATAGATTAACGGTACGAAATATTTTTATTATTTTACGCGTTCACGTACAAGATAACGATGACTTAATTCACGTATCTAATATAACGCGATAACTCTGAGTCTAATAACGTAAATGGAGGGTTCTGTCTAGTGACATATGCCCTCGTGTTCGCGCCAGTGCGTCGATGATTCGATGATCATCCCGTAACGTCGAGTGTTTCTGGTGACTTCATCGAACTCAGACCGGACCCCATCGTCCTTTACATCACATCACATTAAATTACATTATCTCTTTATTCACGTCTGGCAAAGTTCTAGAATATATATATATATATATATATATATATATATATATATATATATTTTTCCTTTCTTTCTTTTTTTCTTTTTTGAGGAACACGAGGGATGAAATTAGATGAGAAACGACGATTTATCTCTCTTAATTATCCTCGTTTGCATTCTCTTTTTTTCTTTCCTTATTTTTTGCTTCCTTTATTTTTTCCACTTTTTCTTTCCTTTTTCTATTTTTTTTTTCTTCCTTTTTTTTTTTTTCTTTCTTTTTTTTCCAAAGCCATCACTTTTAATTTCAAACGTTACCGATCCGATCGCGTACGTTGCGGTTATTGCGGTCGCACACACTCTTACGTCTTTACACATGCACACGCGCCGCCGGCTCCTCCGATGAAATCTATCGTTGCAATTACCCACGGATAATTGCGTTTGGTAGATTACATTTCGATTTGATTTATCGCGGCTTTCACACAAAACGATCTCTCTGTTGTGCGTAGACATTTAATTCTTTTTTCTCTCTCTCTCTCTCTCTCTCTCTCTTTCTTCTATTTCTTTCTTTCTATTATTTTTCTTTTTTCTTCTTTCTTCTTTTCTATTCTTTCCTTTTATCATTTGTATATAAACAAAGATAACGCTTCTCGTCGATGCTTTTCCTTTTTTTCTAAATTAAATTTATACCATTATATTATCATCGTTTTACTATCATCATCATCATCATCATCATTATTATTGTCATTATTATTTCTGATTTTATTTCTTCGATCTTTTTTATACGCTTTCTTTTCTTATATCCTTATTTTTTCTTTTTTTTTTTTTTTCATTTTTTTCCTTTTCGTTTTCTCCTCTCCCCCACCCCCTCCCATGAACATTGATCGAACGCGAAAAATAGAAGAAAGTAAGTGACTATATACGTATCTCGCATAGACATGAAAGACAATGAGTAGACACCCCCGATATCATTACTAGAAACGATACGCGCTTTCCGGTCGCAAATCAATTCGCTTTCGCGTTTATGGTCGCATCCCCGTGGCGTTGGCCGGTAGTCGGGCGGAGTAGAGGGAGGATAGGGGAACGATCGTTGGAATCATGGTGGCATTTCGACGGCAAAAGCACCATGACTGCCCTACGCGCGCGACGCACACACGCCGTCACGCCTGCTGACCACAACTATACGAGGGTTCTATCTGCCTCCGGCCTTTGGACCACCCCCGCGGATTAACCATCTCTCTCTCTCTCTCTCTCTCGGTCTCTCTGTCTCACACGTACGTGAGAGAGTAGTATCAAACCGATTTGTGGACTACGAAGAGAGAGAGAGAGAGAGAGAGAGAGAGTAGTCCACTCCGGTTCGTAGTATTACTAAAACTTATTACTCGAATAAATCGAACCGCTCGATTTTCCACGAACAACGGCCACGGATTAATGCGATTAGGTTTATTTACTAGTGGTATAGGTATAGTGAAAGAAAGATGAAGGTAAATGGAAGAGGCCTTAAGTAGTGAAGGTATAAGATAAAATCTCCCCCTCCTTCTTTTCTCTCCAAAGAGAAGACAAAAAAAAAAAAAAAGAAAAGAAAAACAGAAGAAACAAAAGGAACAAACATATTTAATTTATCCACACTTTCTCCACGCGATCGAAGAATAGATACACACGTACACACACACATACACACATACACACACACACAGACACATATATGTATATATATATGTATACATAAACGTATACGCGCGTATTGAGCGAATAAAACGCATTACTCGCTTTTCATCGATTTTCTATTTATAATCATTCCTTAAAGAGTAAAAACTAGAAGAATATTGACAGATCATGACTATCAATGACAAGTCATCGTAGAAAGTTAGCGAGAGTGTAAGAAGATGTGATATCCTCTCTCTCTCTCTCTCTCTCTCTCTCTCTCTCTCTCTCTCTCTCTCTCTCTCACTCTCTCCCTCTCTGTCCCATTCCTCTTCCTTTTCCCTCTCACTCAACCCTTTCTCCTGGCAACCCGCCCCCCTCCCCACACCCTTCCCGTTTGCCCTCCCCTCGAGCGATTTCATTTCTGTATCGCGGCGCGGCTATGCCAATTATAAAGCGTCTCGTTTTAATCGAACGAATCGAACGCAACGGTATGAGAGCGGGATTTCATCCATTACGATTTGCACGATCGTATATTGGGAATACATCCGTCGGTTTAAATACGCGAATAAAATCGAGTGTGCGGTGAAACGTATCCGGCAAAATACAGATCGTTCGTTCGTTCGTTCGTTCGTTCGTTCGTACGTACGTTCGTTCGTTCGTTCGAAAATAACGAAGGTGAATCTCACCATCGAGGATTTTTCTCCTCCTCCAAACATCCCTATATTCTCCCACCCCTTCTATCGATCGCGCCATATTTTTTCTTTCTTTCTTTGTTTCTCTTTTTCTTTCTATTCCTTCCTCTCTCTCTCTCTCTCTCTCTCTCTCTCTCTCTCTCTTGACGATAAATTCGATACGAGCGTTTGTTCATTTATATATGTATCAATACATATGTATAATGATCGAAATCTTTCTCTTTCTCTATCTGTCTTTCCCTCTCTCTCTCTCTCTCTCTCTCTCTCTATATATATATATATATATATATATATATATATTTATTATTTTTTATTTCGCATTTGATGATTTTTCTCGATCGGGATCCCCTTCTAATCGATCATGATTCGCGACGCCGATATAAGAAACATCCACGATAGAAATAAGGTG